CACAACAGGAAACTGAGATGCTAGCAAAAACTGTTGACATTGCATAAAAGCAAATGTCAGTGGCACTGAGATGTATGTTCTGCTGTGTTCTTCCCAGTAATTTCCAGTTAGTTTTTTTGGAAGACAACTAGGCTTAAATAATTTTTGTATCTTGCTTTTCCTTCATGTAGATCAGGGCAGCACACAGGGAAACTATTTTTTTAAAAAAATGGAAGATTTTTAAAGCATTTTGTTACTACCATAAAACAAAAGAATTCAGCAGATGAATGAGAGGAAGGAAGGGCTGATTCAGAATTAACAAGAAAGCATGGGTTGTGTATGAGTAACTCCAGAAAAGTTCATTTGTCTTATTTTCTAGGAAATGCAAATCAGGTGCTTATTTTGCACAGTGTAACCATATTATTCATTTTCCTTAAAGATAGGTCTTTCTAGGGTCTCCCTTGAGAGGAGAAGGAAAATTATGAAAACCATCTTCAGTTCCTGGAAAAAAGGGTGGGATATAAATATAATTAATAAATAATCATTATCATTACATTACATTTATGCCCAACCTTTTCCCTCTTGTGAGAAGCTAGAAGCAGTTTACATAGCTCCATTTTATCCTTACAACCAGCTAGATATGTGTTTTAGCAGTGGAGAATAGGAGTATACCCATGCTGGCTGGGCAATGTTGAAAGTTGTAGGATTTCTTTTCCTGCATAAACATGGATAGGATCATTCTCCAAGTAAAATAAAGGTGTGCACACACACACACACCAATGCAAGATTCATTTGAAGATAAGTGGGCTTTGGCTAACAGTGAGGACCCTCCTGAGAGGCTGTACCCTTTTTCAATGTCTCAGTTGAGATTAGTTTTGCATCTTATTCTGGGTTACAGGATAAAGAAGAGGAAAGAAACCAATCCATTCCATGGACAAGTTCCCAGGAACTTCCACATGCTAATAACAATCTCTTCTTCACCCAGATTTCAAGACTTTTCACCATGTGATAAACTTTAGAAGTGAGCACAGTGTTGAATAGTAACTAACATCACAGTGTAAAGTTTCACTGTGTGAATGAAAATTTAAGAAACATTTCTTGCATATTAATCTCATTTCTGTCACATATTACTGTGCACATGTTAATACTACCTCTCTCTCTCTCTCTCTCTCTCTCTCTCTCTCTCTCTCTCTCTCTCTGTCTCTGTCTCCCCCCGTGTGTGTTTGTGTGTGTGTCTGTGTGTGTGTGTGTGTGTGTGTGTGTGTGTGTGTGTGTGTGAGAGAGAGAGAGAGAGAGAGAGAGAGAGAGAGAGAGAGAGAGAGAGAGAGAGAGAGAAATTCTAGAACAGAGAAAATAACTTTAAAGGAAAAGGTTTAACAGAAGCTTTCTGAAACCAGTTAACAATCACCCTCTGCTGAATATACTGTATTTCAGGCTACATCCTGCCTTGTAAAGTTGATCAAAAGATATTTGTGTTATACAAGTGAATGTGAATTTCAATCATCATGATCCAAGCACCATATGAAAAGATTGCCCCCAGTACATTGACCTGCTTTACAAAACAAGAAGTGGTGTTGCCCCAATTTAAGAAGATTTTAATTTCTAGTCCAGAAGGTTAAACATTTAACTCAGTGACATACTAAATCACCTTTCATTAAACAACAATGCTAATTGTTTTTTTTTAATTCAAGCCAGTTTCACTGCAAGTTTTAATTTTATTCAAGTACTTTGATGCCCTGTAGCTGTGTGATTTAAGTCTCTTGATAGAAACCAAAATGTAAGCAAATTTGGGCAAAATATTAGGAAAAGCAAAGCAAATGCAGCCATTTCATTTCATACTTAAAATAAGAAAATCCTGAGAAACAATACTGATAGAAATATTTCTATCTGTAAAGGAAACACAGCCATATTGTGCTGGATTCAGAACTTTTGAAAAGGAAGAGGTAGTCATGTATTATTTAGGACCCAGTTCCGTACACAGTTATAGCCATGCCCCTCACCCCTGATATCTGTGTACCAGCAGTACATTATGTGTCAAGTTAGTGGAAGAGTTTTACATATGCTTCCCATGTTCAGCCCCCTGCTAAACCTAAAAACCCTAATCTCTGAAACAATGGAGAACCTCTTCCAGTTATTGTAGACAACACTGACCAATCATCTGACTTGATCTAAAGTCTCTTCACGTGAAAAATAAAAATACAATCATTAGTTGGTTGTTCCCTTGACTTGTTTGCTTGCAGTTTATCACAATCTGCCTTTATGGTTCGACTCATCCCCACAGTATGAGAGCTGGAAGCAACTTCACATTGTTGAGGGGCAGGTGCTTTACACATGCTTAAAGGCTCACTGTATTACTCACATTCCAGAGTTTGAGGCCTGAGATAAAATCAGTTTTCAAACTGGAAGGTTGAGGCAGTTAGCATACTGACTTTCTTAATTTTGTGGGTGAATTTCACAGTGTGGATTCACTGCAAGCAAGTGAAGCCTTTGCCCTGATATATTTTTATTGGGTGTGGAAATGGAAGCAAATACTATTTTCAGGCTTCTGGGTAAACCAGGCCCACAATCGTGGGAAAGGTTTATTGATCTAGCCCTGAATATTTGCAACCAGATATTCTCATCTACTGAATTTTAAAAAGTTTCAGGAATGTGTTTAATGAATATATACAGTAGAATTAACAACTCATTCTTCACTATGGTTGCTTCTGCTATAGTGCTGTCTTTTAGTGTGTAGACATGCTGGTATGTTTGCTCAATAAAACGTAACTTTCAAGACATTCAGTTAAGTTTACATGATCACCAGAGTGAAGGGCTAAAGCTGAAACAGAAAAAAATGAAGAGAATTAATGTAATAAAAGTGGGTATTTAACAGACAGGGTTGAACAAAAAAAGTATGAAGTAACAGGTGTCATCAGCTCTTATCAGCATTTTTAATTAACATCTGTTTTTGGCTCAGATTCCCTTTACAAATATGCTGGAGTGTGCCTATATTTAGAGACAGAGTTAGACTGCTGAGAAGTTACTAACCAGTGAGAGGTTGGAACAAGTACCAGGTAGGCAGGAGGTATTTGCAGTGGTGGTATTTGTTGCAGTCTTTGCAGCAGACCTACAGGAAAGCAGTTTGAGCAACATCCCAACAAGATATTGCTATGGCAACAAAATATTTTCTCTTAGAGGAAAATGAGAATGATAAGAAATATGAGACATTCAAAGAAGATTTTGATAAAAAGAACATATAGGATACACTTTAAAAGCAGCTACTGCTTTGCTCTTAGCATTATAATTTTAATTTAATAATTCTGTGTGCTTCTTCAGTCTCTTTCATTAGCCTTGCAGAAATGAAATGAGCCAAGCTCCATGAAAAAAGAAATACTTCCATAATTTCCAACAACATAAAAGGAAACTGAGTGTCCTCAGTTTTATGTGGCTTATAGATAGTGCACACTAAACTGACATCCCATGAAGCACGCTGTTTTCTCATCACCAACTATCTGCTTAGGGTGATCCACACGGAATAGCCTGCCATGTAGATCGGGGGATATTTTTCTACATCATTGCATGTCATGATGCCCTGCAAAAAACTCCCTGATTCATATGGCAAGACACTGCTGCCTTAAATGGCTCATTATGTAATGACTAATGCCACAAAAACTAGTTTTAAAATGCCCCCTATGATAGCCATTTTGTTTTTTCAAATTTGATTATGCCAGAAGTGTGGAAATACAATTTGGATGTTGGGACAAGTAAACTCTGATGTAGACAAGAAATAAGTTTCAATAGGTATAGACAGAAGGAATGGGAATGCTGTGGAACCTTCCCCATCTTCAAATATATTGCATGTTCCTTCCCTGTATGTCCAGCTTTAATTAAGGGTGGGGGGAGGTTGTAGCTTTAAATAACCCAGTTATGAAGACTTAATGATAAGTATGCAGGCAGCTAGTATTCTATTCAGTCGCTCTATTCAAACCTCCTGCTGCTTACAGTTTTCTGGCTAAAGAGTATGGTGGGGAGGGGTGAAATAATTGGCTAACATTTGGCACTTGTTCTCTTAAAATGACCTTTTCACATTGGGTTTTGATTCCTCCAGTTGTATTTGTAGACTTCACTATTTCTGTGTATGTGTAGAACAATTTGGCTTTTTCATTCCACACTGAGTACAAGTAGCCTAAGTTAGATGCCACTCCCAAGAATCATGCATGGATCTCCCATTTCCAGTGTAGTAGATACACAAGAGGGAATGGATTAGATCTTGAGGCTGCTGTCTGATACTCAGTAAGCTAGGTGTGTTGAGCCTCATTCAACACAATGGATTTAGTCATGAGTAAACCTGCACAGGATTGTACTTTAAGTGTTTAAAACCAATGATGTCAGAAATATTTCATTTGAGTCAAACATGAATCTAGCACTTTCTAAATACACTGAAATGTTACATGATTGAAAACTAGGATGAGTACCTTTGCTCACTGTAGGTCTCAGAAGATGTGAACGTTAATGAAAGATTTAGTTGACCCAGGAGATAATCTAGGCACTCAGAAGAAGGGAGTGACTTACGGGGGGCGTTCAGTGTATTTTTGGTATCGGGTTGATTTGCTATTGATGTGGGTAAGTTAATTATTTCATTAGCTAATGACACTATCTGAGGGTATACATGCAAAATTTCAAATAAGTGTGATCATTAGTTCCCTAGTAATCCTCAGTGAAAGACGACCATGATGACTAACGCGACAATGTTGAAGAAAATCGAGCACCGCGCTGTGATTAAGTTCCTTACAAAACAAGGAAAAAGTCAAAAAATCATTCACGAAGAGATGGTGGCCATTTACCAGGACTCTGTGCCTTCATTATCTACTGTTCAAAAGTGGTCAAGTGAATTTAAAAGGGGCAGAGAAAGTATTGAAGACAACCCTCGCTTGGGCAGGCTGGTTACTGCCACTACGAAAGACAATGTGAAAAAAAATTGAGAAACTTGTATTGGAAGATGCCCGAATGAAAATCAAAATGTTAGCAGAGATGACAAACCTATCCATTGGTACCATATTTACTATTTTTCATGACCATCTTAACCTTTCAAAGGTCTGTGCAAGATGGGTGCCACGAATGCTCATGGTGCCTTAGAAACAAGTGTGAGTCGAGTGCTGTAGGGAGTTTTTAGAGCTCTGTGGTGAAGATCCATCAAGTATTTTCAACTGGATTGTTACTGGAGATGAAATTTGGGTTCATCACTATGACCCTGAAAGTAAGCAGGAGTCCATGCAGTGGCGTTAAAAAGGTGCTGACCCCCTGAAGAAATTCAAAGTCACTCCATCGGCCAGAAAAATCATGGCCACAGTGTTTTGGGACTCAAAGGGAATTTTATAGATCGAGTACATGAAAAAAGGTGAAACTATAAACGCAGCATCTTATGCAACCACTCTGCATAATTTAAGAGAAGCAATTAAAGAAAAAAGGCAGGGAAAACTGACCGCAGGTGTGTTGCTTCTTCACGACAACATGCCCATTCACATGGCACATGTTTCAAAGGCTGCTGTGCGAGACTGTGATTTTGAAGATATGAACCACCCACCCTATAGCCCGGACCTGGCTCCCAGTGACTACTACCTGTTCCTGAATTTAAAAAAAGATCTTCGTGGAAAGCGATTTTCTGACAATGAAGAGCTCAAGGCGGCAATTAACGCACATTTTTTAGACAAGGAGGAAGGGTGTTTTTTACAGGGAATTGAAAAGTTAATTTCTTGATGTAATAAGTGTATTGAAGTTATGGGGGATTCCATTGAAAAATAAAAATTATTTCATTTTATTATTCCTTTTTCTCCATGCTGATACTGAGAATACATTGAACGCCCCTCATACATACCAGGGTTTATTGCAAACTATGACACCTGGCTGATGTTATTGCCTTGATTTTTAAAGGTGCAGATTGCTAGCAGCAGGGCCTTCCTTGGATTGGCTGCCAGGTATCTCCCCCATCCCCTGGGTAAGGGGACAAAAAAGTCCCTGGTTTTGGAGGGCTTTTATCTCCCAGGGGATTCCAACCTTGCCAGAGGTGTTTTTCCCCAACCAGGTTCTGAGACCATCACTGTGAGGAGACCTGTGTTGAATAACTTTTAAGTAGGCCCAGCTTTCTTGTTTTCTTGTAGTGGGGCACCAAGGAGTCCTGGAATTAGGATGCTAGACAGCCTTGTACTGGCCTTCAGTTACACCCTCTAGCTGATAATAGTCTTATGATAAAACAGCTTTATCCACACCAAAAAGCCTGTAATAAATATCAAATCCCACAAGGTGAATGCATTGCAGAATGTGAACTATTGCACTATCAAAGAAGTCTACATAATTCCAGTTAGACCTGATTTTTTTCTGTTTGTATAGGTAAATGTAAGTTGCTGTATAACACACCATTTTTGAAAATGCACTGCTAAATGTATCAGAGCAGTGGCACACATATAGCTCTTGACCCTCCTTTTTAACCTTGTTTTAATTCTTCTTTTATATACCAAATTATCAGTGGAAGCAACATATTTTAAAATACTTTTTGGCCTTTGGCATATCCTTCCAAACAGAAGTGATACTCCGTCTAATACATTAGTTCTTACTGTTTTAAGCCATTCACACTTTTTAGTTTTCTTGCATTTAAAAGATAAAATAAAGCAGTGTAGCTAAGGAAACATAATTTTCATTGTGTAAAATGATGCCCATTGTTTCTGTTCCAAAACTTGCTAATAGGAACATTTATGAGGAAATTGTTTCTTACGAATAATTAATAATAATTCTTAAGAAATGGGCAAGATGCCTAGAAAATGAATGAAAGAGTAAATTATTAAATTGAAATATTAAATGAAATAACTGAATTATAAGAGATCATGTAAGCTCTGAACTAATGTTTGGTAGCTGTTGTTGATTTAACTTATTTTCATCTTCCATTCATATGCTTAAATACAATTGCTTGATGTTAAGTAAATGCTTGAATGATATTCCAAATGCCTAAAAATTTGCATATGCATCTCAGAATTCAAGCAAATTAAAACTTCATTTCAGCTGGATTTGATTACATGCAAATTGTTTCCAATATTCATTACTCCCATTGTCTTCTTTGGAAGGATTTTAAATTCTTATTTACATATCACATATCATCCTTCACTGGACTTCTTGATGAGGCAGGTTCTAAGACTTCTCCATTTATAAGGAACATTTATAAATTAAAATTGTGGCACAGACCTTTTGCTACAGATGATTTTCTAAATACTGCACATTTTTGCTGTAGATGAGAAAAAATATTGCTGTACTCCTTTTATCAGTCCAGCACCAGGAATATACTTACATGGTCAATGAGCATGTCTAAGATAGCTTGTTGGTTGTAACGAGTCACTAAAATATTTTCTAATATTCGCATGATTTTTTTCCACAGGTACAAATAAATAGGACAGTTGTATCCCCCACCCCGGGTCTTCTCTCATTTTCCCTGTTTCTTTCACGTATACACACAGTTCTCTTTTATAGTCTTTGTTTTTCACAGAACAATGTCCCCTAAAGTGGATGGTCTACTGTAAAATACTATAACTGGAATGAAAAGGGACCCATGTGATAAGCAATATGCATGTGGAGCTTTTAGCTTGACTGTTCACAATCCCCCTTACCAGCCATGGATTAGAAATAAGAAATGTTTTCTGTCCAATTTTCTTCTCCTCCCTGCACCACACCTCACTCATTCAGCAGTCTCCCAACATTCTGTGTAGCATTTTTAGGGAGCAGGAGGGGTTGCTGTGGGGAAAAGGGAGCTGGTCTAGTTGCATGGACCACAGTCTCTGTCCAGCCCTGTGAAATTACAGATACTTGTAATTTAGGATAATGATTAATGCATTTGATGAAGTAGGCTGTAGTCCATGAAATGTATGCCACAGTAAATGTGTTTTACTCTTTAGGGTGCTACAGTACTCTGTTGTTTTTACCTGTAAATGGTCATATTGGCGGTAATATGCTAGAAAACGTACAGATAGAAAGTTTGCCATTTCAATTTCCAGTGGCATTAAGCAGTACACTGCCGTTTTTCTGTTCTGTTTGCCCCAAATACTAATCAAGAGTTCTAACTTTGAAGATCATATGTCTGTTGACTATCAGTTCTACCAAAAGAAGTACTTGAACTTCATGGTTTAGAGGTGGATTTCCTTATCACTGTTTTCCAAGAGACACATGGGTCATATTGCTTGAGGTGCTCTGAAAAATTGGCTGAAAGTATTATATAGTAGGGACTTTCAGAGTCACAGACATCTGGAAGAAAGCAATTACTGTGTCTAATGACGTGATCGCACAAACATGTAGATGTGGATTTTGGCTATTAATTCAGGATGCTAGTAATAATGGTTGGGCTGCTCCTTGAGCTAATGCATGGTACCTTCTCTGATGTGGTACCTGCCAGATGTTCAAAGTGGCTGAGGTTCATTAATGCTGTAGTCCAACATTTCTGGAAGGGACCAGATTGAAGAACCCTGGGGCTAATGTAATACTGCCTTGCACTGGGGCAGTATTTTTTTTTTCCTGTGGAATTATTAGCTCAGTGCCACATTACAAATCACTTCTCAAACTCCCTTCAACCTCAAAATTATTCCTAAATTGTGTGGGGAGGGGCTGCTGTGCAAGGAAAACATTTCTAAAATCTTGGGTTCATGGAATGAACCTCACAGTCTTTTTTATCTTGTCCAATATCTGTTCCCCTTCCTAAACTTCATCGCTAAAATCACTACCACCAATTTGATATTGCGTAACATAGCAAATTCAACAGCAGGATGAAAAATTACTGCTGTAGGACACTTTGGTGTGTACTTGGGCAGGGAATGCATTAAGCACTTTCTCCTTCTACTCTCTTCAGTGTCCCTGCCAGCAATCACGTTTGTTCATAAAGTGGACTGTCAGTATCATTATACATGTTTGCCTGTAACATGTAATTTAGGCTATAGAGTGCAATTGGTCATTTTTATTTCTCTTCATCTTGCAGGCATCAAAGATTTGAAAAGGCCTTTCTGCTTGCTGTTGATATAGGTGCCCGTGACTTATTTATGGTGAGTTATTTCTGATGGATTTATATTATTGTTCTTTTGCTGCCATGGGACATCTTGTGTCTGTTGTGGTACACAATAAAAAGGAACATAGTAATTTGAATTCTTGGTCAATTTTATGAATTGGCCAAGGTGGCAGGTATCAAGTAGTAAGCCTATTGTGTATGTTGTTCACAGGTTTTAGATTCAAGCAACAAAAAGGACATTCTAGTATGACCTTCCACAAGATCAGTCTGTTTATATTATATTTTTAATCTGTTCAGTAACAAATGTTCCATGGAAGATTGCAAAAGCTACATAAATAAAGTACAATACAAAATGGTTTGGGGCCAGGCTGTATGTGCCTGCCTGAGCTCTGAGATTATGAGGAGAGGTCCTTCTTAGAGATACCTCTCCAAAGGAATCTAGGAGGGTGGCCACTAGGGGAAGTGCCTTCTCAGTAGTGGCACTCCACGTATGTGGAATCGATTCCCTAAAGGGGTGCACTTTGCACCCACTCTGTTCCTTTTGGTGTCATGCAAAGACCTTTTTATTTACCCAATATTTTAACAGATTTTATTCTCATTTTTACCATATTTTATTGTACCTCCGAATGAGACTTAGCTGCAATGGTGGTGGGAGGGATTATTGTAGTATGTTTTATTGCATTATGGTATTTATTAATTAGGTAACTATGTCTGTATTATTTGTGCTTTTATTATATGTGCTTTATATGGTATTTTCAATTTGTAAACCACCCAGGGAGCCTCTGTGCTGGTGGGCAGTGAAGAAAGATAATAAAGAAATAAACTAACAAATAGTACAAGAATAAAATACATAAAATATTTATTCCCTTTTAAAATTTCTAGGAGAAAGGAAATATATTCTCCTTGCACCAAAAATATATCAATGTAGGTGACAGCTAAGCCTGTATAACTGAGGTGTTACAATGGAGAAGGGATACTCACTTAACTTGCCTCAGTGGGACCACCTGGAAGGGATGACCTAAGGATATGTCCTTATATAGTATTTAAGGCTTTAAATATCAGCATTAACCTTGGAATTGGCCTTGGGAACAGACTGAAAGCCAGTATATGTGACAATGTATGGGCATCACATATTCATATTGTCCAGTTCAGTTAGGAGCTTAGCAGCTCTGTTGAACTGGCTGAAATTTCTGAGCTGTTTTCAAAGATAGCCTCATGCACAACATATTGCAGGAGATTACCAGAATGTGGATAATTATTACCAGACTATCTCTGCCAGATATTGTTGCAGCTGGAATAACTTCCTAAACTGATACTCCTTGTTACCAAAGCCACCTGTAGCTCAAGTGACAAAGATGGATCCATGACCATCCCCAAGCTGCAAACTACATCCTTTACAACAAATGCAACCTTTTCGCGAACAAGTTGAACACCAGTTAGCTATCACATGATAGTTGCAATTATTATGTAATCGATGTGATGTACATGAGTTTTAACAGCAATCCTTTAGTTCTGCTTTAGTAGTAATTTAAAACACTGCCTTGCTGTGTTCTAGCTAAACTTTGATACTGTGTTTGCCATCTGAATAAGAGCACTCCTTCCCTAGTTGCCAAGCAACCCCACCATTGCTATCACCTTCACTTGTGCTTCACTTGATTTTACAGCAGCATCTGTAGCTACTGTGGATTAGAAACAGTTGGGTTGGGTGTGCTTTAAAGCAATATAAGTGTCCTGCATTAGCAAAGCTATACTCCAGCAAAGGTGCTCAGCAGTACAGCAATCCAAAGATGATTTTGTAAGCTGCGTAGGGACTTTGGTGGCATAGAAATGGAAATATAAGGAAGATTGCATATGTGTGCACACCCCATATGGACATACATATACCAGATTTTGTGTATATATAAAATATTTATACACATATTTATACCAGATTGGCTTTTATGGATTCCTCTCAAAGAATCCTGTACATTGTACCTTGGTGAGAGTGCTCTTGAAGTTCCATAAACTCCTTCACAGAACTAAATATTCCAATGTTCCCTCAAAAGAAGGAATCTCTGAAAATCCAAAAAAAAAAAAAAAAAAAAAGTGGAGCAGATATAACGCATAAGTGGCTGTGTTCAGGGGGAAAGTATTCTTGCCTTGCAGACTGCCAGTTCCAATTTAGTCAGCAATATTTATTGCAAGCCATTTAAATTTGGTTTCTGACCTGATTTCAGAACTGAGTCTATTTTATTGTTCTTAAGTAGCTGAACTGGGCTTGCAGATGGACAAAGAAAGCACTATCCCCCTGAACCTCCTGGATCACTCAGTGGCATTTGTTACCAGCAGCCATGGTGTCCTTCTGGAAGCCTTGTTGCAGTGGGAATATTGACTCCTAGGAGCATGTACCACTCTTTTTGTGCAACCTCACTAGCTCCGAGTAGAATTGTAGCTGCAATGCAAAGTGCTTGTTTTACTTCTGCAGGTCCTGCATTGCCTGGCTGGGAGCAAAATATTTTGAGCTTCATGTTCTATTTGAATCTACTGGTTCATTGAGATCATTGTTGGAGGTCCTGCTCCATGTCTTCCTGCTATCTGAAGCATAATGTTTGGTTTTGGGAAGCAGAACTTTCTTGATCGTGGTATCTAGGCTGTTGGTTCAAGTGGACCTCATTTGACTCTCTTCCTTCCTGGATTTCAGAAGAGAAGATAAAAAGTTACTGTTTCAGAGGACACTGGAATAATTAATAATGTTATTGCTCTTAATAATTTGGTTTGAGTGTGGGGTGCTTTGCAACTTCAGAATATAGAGTGCTTTTTTAAAAATCTTTTGAGGCTATTGGGGTTATAAGGGGCCATACAGAGGGGACATTTGAGAAAGATTCACCCCTTCCATCTGGTTTTGAAAGTGACACAGTTAACAAGAGAGCTCTGTTCCACATTCAGGAAGGCAGTATGCATCCAAAGGCAAGGGAAGATGGGGGGAAAGTGCTGGTTTGTTGGCAGCAGGTTGAAGACAGAGATATAGAACTGGGAGTGGTATAACCTTGGGATAGTTTATATTTAAATCTTAGCAAGTCAAGGAGCTGAATAGGCAAACATTTAATGCTTGAGAGATCCCTACTACTGAGTTTGTCTTCTGTTCTGGCTAGTATCTGATGCTTCCATGGCTAAAGAAGGGGGCCAGAGTCAAGTAATATGAAACCCAACAATGTGTCTAAAGGTTTACCTCTATTGATAAGAAATTATTTATCTTATTTTCTCACATAGCTGGACATATTTCACTTTTAATAAGCTTATAAACTGTGCATATTATTCTACATTTTAGGCTTCCATACCTAAGCTCAATGTCAAACATGAACACTGGGAGTTTACATTTCATTGTTCTTAACCCCTCCCATACATTTTGCAACAAGAACAAAATGAGTTAAGAAGGCATTATATACAAGCTCTAGGTCCAATGGTCGAAAGCAGTTGTTCTTGCCCAGTGTTCCAGCATATTGCAGTAGATCTGCAGGAGATGGCATTATTTCTGAAGAAAAAAAACAATGGGGAAAACCTCTGAGAATCACATTTGTCCAACTCTTTTGCATAATGAAGACATTCTGTTTAAATTAAGCTTTGACACTAGCTGCTAATATCATTTATTCTATTAAGCCACTTGCCCTGCTAGTTTGATCTTAATATTTAACTTCTGTGTTAAATCATACAATTACATTATTCTTCTATGGGTTATGAAAATTCCTTTCTAATTATACAAAAAGAAATTGCATGAATCTTTTAATGCTTTTTAATGTAGAGCTCTAATCATCTAGCCTATTCCATCTAATTAGAACGATGTGTGTACTGTGATAAACTTTCCTAACTAAGCACACTTCAAAAGAATATATTGGAAATGTTGTACTTCTGAGAAAGCAATTAAGTATGTTGTATGTATTTATTTATATGTAAATCCTCTTGCCCTCCTCTTTATCCTTTTAAAAAATTTCATCTTTCCCCTTCCTGTCGCTACACCACCCCCTTTGGTATACATGTTGGAAGTGAAGATATTAGGGAAGAACAATGCAATCCTATAATGTCTACTTAGAAGTAAATCCCATTGATTTCAGTGGGGTTTATTCAGAGGAAAATACTCATTGGACTGCAGCCTCTTAGTCCAAAATGCTCAGGGCATAAATTCAAAGTTTGCAGCTTGAGTACCCAAGTCACTACTTGTCTGCTACTCACAAATATCATTCACATAATCCCTTTCAACATACAGGAGCCGCCTTTTCATTTCTTTCTGCTGCTAAATCCTTGGGGTCATATTCTTGTTATCTGTTGTCTTTATAATAATGTCCCTTTTCTGATCTTCCTTTTTGCAGCATCTCCAGTTTCTGTTCAACAGCATCATTAATATTACTTTTGCTGCTGTCTCCCTGCCAGTAAATTTCAGGTTCCTCCTTCTACCTTTCAATGCTTTCCAGTTTTTTTTTCTTGTCTTACTATTGCATTCCCTCTTTCCCCATGCATTGGTTGCCTTTGGGCCTAATTCTCTGGAGTCTTTTTCATTTTGTTCATCAAGCCAGTTCACTCTTGTGCTTTCTGGTCTCTGTGCATCACACATATGGGCTGTGCACCTACATGGAGCCTGTTGCTGGGATGATTCAAAAGCTAAGAGTGTTTTGGTGTGAATACTGCCCCACCCTAGCATCCACTTTAATCTGGAACTCATTTTGCCTTTTTGTTTCTCCTCAACTCTAAACATAAACTAGAGCTCAAACTTCCCCCTCTTTTAAGTTATTATTTTGTGTTCTAAGCATTTCCCTAAAATACACCCCTCCCCTCCCCTCCCCTCCTTCCTTCCTGCCTTCCTGCCTTCCTTCCTTTCTTTGTGAGGGGAGCTTAAACTCCCTTATACAGAAGCACCATGCACCCAGTCTGGATCAGGATTGCACACACTTGCACAGAATAAATGTAGCAGGATAGACTAAATAAGCACCATTAGAAATGTAAACCAGTTATTTATTTATGTAAAATGTGAAAAATCCCTCTCAGTTTGTGGTATGCGTGCTTCCT